AGAGGGAAAAAACATCCTTATCTCGTCAAGCAGGGTTCAGGAAAAAGCTACTGGTCTTTTGGACTTGGTAAGTCCCCATTGCTAGCCTCGCTTGTCAAGGAGAATTTATCAGCCCAACACAGTGCTGGTATAATGCGCCATACAACTAGTGCATAAACAAACTTCAGCATGATAAATGCCCTGCTTTGAAGCCATAAAGTTATTAGCTAGTGGCTGTTAGCTACTGCTTAGCATGGGGCACACTCCTTCCATTAACCCCTGGATGTACCGTCCACACTCAAGCACAGGAAGATCTCCAGAGAGCACCTCTGTGCAGTGGGAATGCACGGAGGGACCTGGTGGGCAGGGATGCTTCTGCAGGCACTTATGTGTGCATGTTATACCTGTCATAGAGGAAGGAAATGCTTGCTGGGAATGGGGCTCTGAAGGCTGGCACCCCCTCACTGCCCTATTTGGGACCTTCTGTGGCTCCTCTGCCCCTACAAGGCAAATGCAGAAGGCAGCAGAACCATGATGGTTACGTACATACCCATCTCAGACCCTCTTGGCTGTACTTGTTTGAGACACAGACTGAGTTGGGGCTGGGGGAAGGCAGTTGCCCCTCCATTGCCCATCTTCCCCTTAGACAAAGTGCTGCTGAAGCCTCTAAAGCAAAAGCCCTGTATTTTTCTGGCAGGCAGTGATATCTGGTGAGGTGTTGAGAGTTCCCTCTGCTGCCTGCAGCACACGGCTGCCTGCAGCTCCAGAAGTAGTTTCACCGGAGGCTGGGCTGTGTCATCCATCGAGGTCCTCTGGTCCCCCAGGCCACCTCCTGTCCCCATCCCACTCTCAGGTACTGTACCAAGGCAGGGAGCTGGGTGTGCTGGGAGTGGCAGTAGGTCTCCAGCACTCAGTCTGAAGCACAGATGGGGTTATACAGCAGTGCGGTGACTTCTTGGCCACACAGCCCAGAGCCCCAGTGAGAGATGCTGGTGGCCAGGGACTAACTCCCATCCTTCTCCCAGTAACACCTCCTCTGCAAGGAGGCAGGAGATATCTCGATATCTCAGCCGGGCCAGCTGGGGGGCAGCAGGACTAGAGGCTGCTTCAGTGCCTGCTCCTCGTTAGAAGCCCAGTGCTGAAGAAACTCATAATTAAAGCCCTGAGTATTAATTAATCCCAATGACCCTCCTCTTATTCTCTTTCCCCCACTTTCACAGCTCAGGAGGTCAGTCAGCATTATTAACACATGCAAGTGGAAGATGGCAAGCTCACTGAGTGGGTTGGCAGACCCTGGGCAATGTCTTGTGTTCAGAGCAGCCAGAGGTGCCCTATCACATCCCACCAGCATGGTGTCCCTTCCTGGCCTCTTCTCTCATGGCTGGGCTTGGATGGGGACACACCTCACTCACTTAGACATAGTCAGCACCTTGGGGAGAGCACTTAAATGAGCTGAAACATCCCAGAATTTGCAGAGATGCTTTTATGCTAACTCTGCCTGTGCAGTCCCTTGCACAGTGGCTAAGGGCAGATCCCTGCATCCCAGGGGCCGGGTTGAGCCTTGCTAGAGATGACCTACCCTTGGAGAACAGCCAGCCCAGCCCAAAACCACCACCAAAAGGTCCTTGAGCATCCCACCTCTGGTACCCAGACCTTGTTTGGGTCTTTAAGAGCCTCAGCACTAAGAAGGCAGCCATGTGGCACAGAGAGGACATGGAGACCTTTTGTGCAGCATAGCCCCTCCACCCTAGGGCTGTCCATGCAAATTCCATGCAGTATCCATGCTGCTCAGGGCACAGATGTAGCTCCTGGTAAGGCCATGCTCCCTCCAAAACACTGCCCAGGCACAGCCCGCAGACTGATGTGCTGCAGAGAGCTGCTACAGAGCAAGAAAACAAGATAGGAAATAAATCCAAACTTTTCTGACTCCCTGGCAACAATCTATTGCTTCCCTCATCTGATTCCCCCCCCCCCCCCCCTTTTTCTGCTGCAGCAATAAAAAGGGGAAAATCAACATCCAAATGATCTTGTTTATGGTGACTAAATAAGCTGCATGTGCTTAATCCGTTAGAGTTTAATGAATTTACGACTTGCTTTGGAATTTGACAGGGGCTGTAAAAGAGTAATTAACATTTATCAGTGTGGTTTTTACACACACCCCGCCCTCCTCCCGGCTCCTTCCCTCCTCCTGCTGCCTGTCGCGGAGCAGCACTGGGTATCGGGGGGAATATAAAAGTGATCAATTAATTCTTAATAATCTCAGGGAAAGATTGTAGAGGCACAGTATGAACTCAGGGAGTGTCAATAAAGGTGCCAAAGGTTGGTTCCCCCCCCTTCCTGGTGCTGCTGCAGAGGAATGTGGGCAGCCAGGGAGGGGACGAGGCGGATGAGGTGGACCAATCCTGCATCCCTTTCCTTCTCCATCACACTCCAGCAGCCTCCAGAGTAACTTTCTAACGCAAACCTAATTGCTGCGCCAACTGCTACCTCTGTCCTGATACACCTGAACCTGTTGAGAGCGACCTCAAATCCTCCCCATCATGACCACAGGGCAGCTGAGCATCTGCTCAGATGGAGAGGGCAGGCAGTGGTGCTGGCACCTGCACTGGCCCCACTCACCCCGCTGTCACTCGGCACAGGCAGCTGATGCTGTTTGAGCTCTATTAGACATGAGGGAACATCAGTGCTGACCCCGAGACAAGAAAGGGGGCTCAAACTCTCATACCTTACTTGTTCCCGGCCCTCCCAGATGCTTGGCTGCCATGGAGCAGGACTGCAAGCAGGGATGCATTGTGGGAGCTGCAAGGGGACAAGTCCAGGCTCCCCTGCCAGTGGTCTCAGGGAAGGCTGAATATGACCAAATTATCCCAAGGGTTTTCTGTGCTGGGAACCCAGTATGTTCTGCCCTGGGCTACCTTGCTCAGCAGCCCTGTGAACCACAAAGCCAGAGGAGCCACAGCCATCACCATCCTAGTAGGTAGGACATGTCCCCTGTGATTGCAGCATCCTGCCTGTGTGACTGGGATGCAAGGAAGCCTGCATGCCTGGGCATCCATACGGGAGGAAAGGGGTCAGTGCTCCTGGGTGATAGCAGGCTCCATGGAGGAGACAGAGAAGTATCTGGGCTTGGCTGTGGGGCAGAGGGTCCTGGAGACCCACAAACAAATGCTCAGGATGATAAATCCTCAGGGGTTTGAGACTGTCTGGGGATCTGCTCTGGACAGAAACAAATTCTCCCTGTCGAGCATAATGGCCCAGAAATAAGCAATGAGGCAGGGATGGAGAGGGCTGGACACTGGGGGTCTGGAAAATCTCCTCCCAGCCCCATGCTGAGCACCAGTGGGGGTGGGAGGCTGGCTGGGACCCCTGTGCCAGGCACTCACCGCCAGTTGGATGGGGCAAGACTTGGGATTTCTTGCCAGGAGGGAGTTATCCTGAAGCAGGATGAGTGCAGGACAGACAGGGAAGAGGAGAAAGTAACGGTATGAACTTGCTTTAATTTTACCTGAAGGCCAAGGCTGACCTTTACCTGAAGGTCAAGGCCAGCTGGCTGGCATGGGCTGGGGCATCAGGGAGGGAGCAAAGCCTGGTGGGCAGTGGGGCAGAGCCGCCATGCAGGGCAAGGAGGTGAGGGAAGAAGGCTGTGGTGATGGTGCTTGGTGTGGCCAAACTGCCAGAGAGCATCAGCAACCAGTAGCCTCTGAGCGAGGGTCTCCAACGTCGGGCAAGCTTATGGTGCTGGGGCTGCACACACACATCTCAAAGAGAGAAAAGGAAGCACAGGGAGGGGTTTCTGGTATCAGCACACCAACGTCTGCTCTGCTCACTAGGCAGCAGGTCTGGGTCTCCATTGCATGAGTGGCACAGCCAACATCCATAGCCAAGGCTCTGAAAATCACTCAGGGACCACTCACTGGTGCCTCATTCTCAGAGTGCAGTGCTCGTGCAGCCCTCTACATTGCCATTCAGGTTCCACCACAGACCTCCTGCATGACCCCAGGATCCCTCCTCTGCTGTGGAGAAGAGGATGCTGTGGGGCAGCAAAGGGGCAGAAAGGGGGCTGCGCTCCCCCCCGCCTGCACTGGCTCAGCTGCTCCCATGTCAGCCTGTCTAAACAGCACCTCCTCCTGCAGAGACCTTGTGCTGGGGGTCGGCAGCTCAGCATCTCTGGGATTTGTCATGGTAGTGCTGGAGTTATCAAACAGCAGCTTGGACCAGGCACGCCAAAGGGTTGGATCAACCAGACCCAACATCATCGTCCATCTGCAGGGAAAGCAACCTCTGGGGCTGAGGACACGGAAGGGGCTCAGGTGGCATTGGGCTGGTCCTCCCTGGCTACCAACACCCTGCCTCACACCAGCCACATGGCTTCATCCCCGTGCAAGGCTGGAACTCATTAGTGAAGGAGCAAGGCTGTGATGGGGCGATGCTTGGCCAAGGCTTGCTGCTTTGCGACGGCACTAATGGATCAGAGACAGCCCAGCCACGTCCCCGCCTCGCTCTGCTCGGGCGCTGCTGGCAGTCCTAACAAAGAACATTTATCCAGCTGCATTCCCAGTTTCTCCCTCTTTCCGTTTCCCTTTTCTGTTGCCCAGGTGTGACAATTTTAGTACCCATAAATCATAAGGTGGATGTTAACAATAATGGAATGTACAGCCCTGTGTTGGCTTTCCTCTGACTGCAGTCACACTTCGGATGGCAGAAGGGTTAGAAAGAGTTAACAGGAGACTCCCAGGTCCCCTAAGCGTCTTGCCCCAGGTCTTAAGCCCATAAGCAGTAGTGCTAAAGATGATTTTAAGCCATGATTATAAGAAATCTATTGATCCTTTGGACTGTATCATGACAGATTAACCATTTTAATAAAACACCTATTAATCATGCATTAACCCTTCTCAGCTATGTGTACATTGAACACCGAATTGACAAGGGCATTGGGATTTCTGGGAGGATATTTGGAAGGGGAGGGAGGGGAGGTTTCTTTAGATAACAACAACAACAACAAGAAAATAATGCAAACTTACAGAGGGGGAGAGTTAAAATCATACGATGAGTGGCAGTTGCAGACGCCTGGGGCCCTCTTTGGTTGTCGCTTCTATCTGGCAATCAATTGACAAGAAATTGAGATTATGAAACATTGCGGCTGTGATCAAAGGAGGAGGCCAAATCTCCACTCCCCATGGGAACCAATGTCATTGAATGTCAGTGATTTGGCCTTTGGTAGATACTGGACAATATTGGCACATGTCCCCCAGCCCCACTGGTCTTTATGCCAAACTCTGAGCAAGGATGCAGCATCCTGAAGGTGGATCGTAATGGAGCACCTAGATGCCCATGATTCTTTTCTGAGGAGACTTGTCCCTAAGAGCAAGTCATTAGGAGGAAAAAGAAGGGGAAATGAGGAAAGCCAACACCGCCCAGCTCAGGCCAGCGGTGAAGGGGCACAGGCTGCTCACATCCTCTCTCTTCCCACCCTTGAAATCCACAGCACCGGTGTGGGTTGGTCTGGCTGATGGACTGGGACCAGCAGTGCCCCGGGGCCCCTCTGTAAGCACTGGGGAAGGGGCAGGGGCTGCTTCCTCCTGCCCCGACCGTTGCAGCCTCAGAAACCACCAAGTCCCCGGTGCATTAGGAACTGCCTGGAGGCCGGAGCTTCCTGCAGGTGCCCCGGGCCCATGAATCACACCTTGTCACAGGGCTCGGGGTGCCCAACGGCTGGGTGACCTCTGCGGTGCCCAGGGAGCCCTGCCCCAGGATGCACGCGCATCCCCACCACCCCATCCCGGCCAGGCGAGGGTTAACAGGCATTAATCACACTGTTTGAGAGACATTTCAAAGCCTCTTCCAAATATTATAAAAAATGTCTTTAATCATCTAATAGCGCGAACCCCACTCATGATGGATGGAGAGAAGTCGCCTCTCTCCTCCTGATCCTAACAGATGAGGCTGAAGAGCTGTTGCTCCGGGGAGGAGGGGGAAAGTTGGGGAGGGGGCTGGGGGAAGAGAAGGACATTTCTCAACCTCCCACCAGAGCAGTTATAAATATGAGGTCATACAGCAAGAGATGATAACGCATTAAGGGCTCTTGAGATATTAGTCTGTCAGCCTCGTTAGACACAGCCTATTTGGGGCTGACTGCATAATTAGAGGCTGGGGTACCCATAACTCATCGGTGTTTATACGGTAGGAAGGGGCTATGCTCACTATCACCCTCAGCACTCTGAGAAGTCATCTTCAACAGACATTAGACCCTGCTCCCTGCTACAAAAACAACCCTCCTCTCCCCAGGAACAACTGCTCCTGCTCCCCACATCCCTCCCTTCCTGCAGCTCAGAGCTCTCTGCATGCTTGGTGCACATACCCTCGCCTCTTCCCTCCCATGAAGGTGGAGAACAGGGTTATGACTTGATCGAGGCGCCTCAGGGTGGTTTGTGACCAAGTGGAGAAGTCCTGGCTCCCAGTCCCCTGCCCATAGGATGACTTGCTAGGAATAGCCCATGTGCTGCCCTGCAAGGGACTACATTCCCTGAGCATCCCCAGGCAGCCTCCAAGCAAGTCTGGCCCTCCTGTGTCCTTCTGCCTTTTCAGGGAGCAGCTGGAAACACCTTGGGGACCACTTGCTTGGTTTGGAAGCTGGCCAAGGAGGAGTTGGGCTTTCCATGTCCCCTCTGCTTTCTCTTCCCAGTTCCGCCTAGGTGGTGGTAGCACTGACACGAAAGGGCACTTCCCAACTAACCCAGTCAAGGCACTGAACAAGTGAAACAGGGAAGGGGAGTGTTTCCCTTCTGAAAGTGCAGAGTGAGGGCACCACAAGACCCAGCTCCTGCTCGAAAGGAAAGGGAACAGAGAGGGAGCAGCGAGCAGGGGGAGGCAGGTGAAAGCCAAAGCAAGCCCCATGCGCCTGGCAGAGTCAGCTTTGTGGCCTGGGACCTCCCTGTGACTCCTTTTGCCCTGTGGTAGGTGGGAAAATGAAGGCACTGGGAAGGGCAGGGACATCAACATGAGAAACAAGAGCCCTCACTGCAGGGACTGCCTTGACACTGCCGAAGTCCCCACCATGGCCACCCAGGGCCTCATCCTTGGTCCCTGCTTGCCCCATGCAGCCAGGGAGGGGGCAAGGGGTCTGTGGAGGAAGGGGCAACCCCTTGGCTTCCCAGGCTGAGGTAGGATAATGAATCCTGATGGGGGAAGTGACCTTTTCCAAATGCCACATGTCATTGGATTTTATATCACACCAGGACAATGTGCCATGGGTATTAAAATCGTTTTTTCAATAGAAGAGTGTGTGTGTATGTGTGTGTCAGAGAGATGTGAGAAAAATAAAATGAAGACATGAAAATTAGTCTGCCTCTAAACATGGCCTTTAGAAAAGACTTGGGGCCTCACAGAGCAGGGCTGAGAGAGAAAATCTGTGCTCTTTGCTCCTGAGATCACAGATGATTCTGTCAAGGGAACAGGACTTGCCCAAACCTCATGTCAGGACTAGAGGAGACAGGCTTAGGAGTCCTGATCCCCATTTGTAAAGTCCTGCAAAGACTTTCACCTCTACAGCATCCTCTCTGCCATGAAGGGACACTTCTAGGGCTGGTCCGCACACAGAGGCATGCACAGAGGCATACGGAGCACCGACCACCTTGCACATGTGCTCCTGGACACCCATGGGTGTTAGTCCTGGCTATGCACATGGAGAAAGCAAAGTCTTACATGACAGTCAGCACCAAGTTACTTGGCCTCACCTGGGCTTCAAAGCAGCCCATACCCTGCGGACCAGCCCGGAGATGCTCATGAGCATCCATGGAGTTATCCATACACTCACAGAGGTATGGACACGCCCCCATATACACCAAGATACATTCCCATGTGAAAACACAATGTAAAAGGGAGGTGCTGGAAGCTAAATTCACTTGAACTCCAGCCTGTTCCCTCAATGTGCAGGGCAATTGTCCGGCTGAAATAACAACACTGGGACAGAAAAAAAACAGGGACAAGCTGTGTTTGTTTATTCAGCTTCTTTCTCCCCATCTCCTCTCGACAATGCCCTGACACCGTGTCCTGCCGCGCCAGGGCTGCAACCCCAACGAGCTAAATTTATCCCAGCTGGAGCCCTGTTTACAAGCCTTGTCCTGTTTACAGCGTGGTCCATCCTGCCCAGGACCAGGCAGTGGCCATCCCCAGAGCAGGCAGTCTGTGCCTCACCTTCCTCAGCCTCTGCCATGCCCAGGCTGTCTATGGGGTCCCTGGAAAGATGCCCAACATCCCACACTCCCCATGTGTTTACACACAGGGCAGCTTGTGGGCTCCTGCCCATCTAGGAGGCAACAGGGAGACGTAGGCTTGCACAGGCTGCTGCTTGTCCAGTAGTGGCCCAGGTGGCCACAGCCTCCACCAGTGCTGGCCGGTAGCACACCATCACTCAGAAAAACATTTGATGCAAGCTCTGAAATGATGGTGCAGCACATTCCATGAGATACCAGCCAGGGACAAGCATGCTCCAACATGAAAGCATTAATGGAGCTGCAGGTCTCATACAACCATGCATGGGTGCTCTGCTTCTCATACCTCATGCCAAAGTGGAGGGCCACAGGTTTCAGCTGTCATGCACCCATCCCTGTCTCCCTGATGTGCTCACATGGACTGGGAGGACAGAGATGGCAAGATCTCAGCCCCCTTGCCAAGGTGACAGAACTGGGTGTCACATCAGCAGTCTGAACGGTTGAGTCTTGTGAATAGACATTAAAGCCCTGGGTATGAGATGGAGAGATGCTTGCTGCCAGCACCCTCCTGCACTGATTCCCATCTCTGGTGGAATGCCCTGGCCATGGTCTACCAAGGGGTGATATGTGCCTCCTGTGGTCCCGGGCTGCCTCACCCGCAGGACCTGCCTTCAGCAGGGCTGTTGTCAACATCCAGGCTCTTATTTGCTGTTTAATGAGTCCCTGCTAATGAATCCAAATGTATAAAAGCTTTTCATTAACCCTTTGCCTTTCTGTAAGCATTGGCCACCAGCTTGCAGAGGCTGGGAATCACAAGAGTGATTTCAGGGGTGACTGCAGACCCTCACCTGTGAGCCTGCGTGCTACCTTGTGCCCTGTCACCCTTTCCCTGCCCATGCCTGGTCTCAGTGGCTGCAGAGGGGACATGAGAGCCCTGTGGATGTGAAACAAAAAGGCTGATCCTGGTCTTCCTCAGTCTCCCTCACCAGGGGCAGTGAACAGAGATTCACCTTCATCCCCATGGCAGGGCCATTGCTCAGCAGTGATGGATCCCTCTTTGCACCTGCTCACAGCTGCATGTACTTAGACTTAATGAGCGAGCAACCTCCTGGCATGCTGACGATGCAGCCCTGTTCCACAGTGTCTTGGTGCAGACTGCTGCCTGCTGTTGCCTCAGGAAGCCTCCTGCTTGAAACCAAGAGTTCTGGATTACATCTGTGGTAAGGGACACCTTATGTGCACGTGAAGGGGAAAGAGGGTCTTGCAGAGAGACCCTGACCTGGATTCAGTGGCCAGACTGGATGAGAGGCACAAATCTCAGTGTGTGACACTACCTCTGTGCAAGAAAGGGTCCAAGAGCAGCTGAGGATGGAGCAAGCAGAAGAGAGAGCTAGCAAAGCTTTCCTGTTGTTCAAGGGGTTTTGAGACAAGTATATTGTCCAGAGCAATGCCCATGGTGGCCCCACTGTGGTGCACCACAGCAGTGTCCATCCACAGGTGCCTCCTCATCCCTCACTGCTCACACCTACCTTGCTGCTTGCCTCTGGCCCAATTCTGGGTTGGTTCGTACCATGGGTGAGGGGAAGCCTTTCTGCACTGTGTGCCCCAGATCACACTACTTTGTGAAGCAGAAGCTCCAGGGAGAGCAGAAGATGGGTTGTATACCCCAGATAAGCTCCTTGTCCACAGTTCTGGAGGTGGCCTGTGCACGATTGTGAGTGGGGTTTGAGTGTGAAGGCTCAAAGCAGTGCTCCTAAGGAACTCCCATGCTGGGCATTTTTTATCCCCAAAATAATAGCTTGCTCAAGCTCACCAGACCCCTTTCACCCTGAAATACAAACAGAGCTTTTGAGGACTATTTCACTAGTCCAAAAACCACTCCACCC